ATTAAAAGCCCTATGCTACGTTACCTCCCGCTGCCAGTATAATTGTACACTGCCATTTCTCTGATCCGCGAAACACTCACCCGTTTTTTTACATTTTTATTAATTTTTTACATATGAAACTCAGTTTAAGCATGACTGTGCCACATATTGATGAACTGTCTAAAATGAAGCGATGTTGCACGTTTGTTTGATGTTCTTGGTAGCAATAAAAAGCACCTGTTTCACGCTACAGTTGTGTTAATTTACCTACATACCCCCCTTTCCTCCCCTCCGCTGCAAGAGGTCCCCCATTCCTTCTACCTGTCCACAAGGGGTCCCCGACACATCCATGGCTGAGAACCACTGTCCTAAAGCATAGCCGCTCACATGCACCAGTTGCATTCCCCAAACGTAGAACAATGATGGCTCCTAAAGCCCTTATGAGCTGAACGTGTCGGGTGGACTTATCGTTGTGTATGTGTGTGGTGCGAAGAGTGGTTTGTGTCTATCAATTCAAGGTTACACTATGAGGTGAGCGATGCAATCACGTTACTACTTTCTAGAACTAGAAACAACTCGTTCCTTACCTTTTGATCCACTATTCTATGTTATTAGGCTAGCCGTAGATGTAATTACTATTACGTATATTCGGACCCCCGACTGAGGACGACTGTCTACAACCATATATATTTACCAGAATTTAATTTACTACTCCAAAATGCTAACAAAATAGGATACAGCCTTAAAAGCAGTGCCATTTTATTCTTTAGCAGTAGAAACTTTTCGCGTTTACTTTTCATACACTCCAATCGTCCACGACGTATACTACTATAAAAAATTAAAATTGAGAATACATAACTATCAATTGTGATTTGTTATATGTTTGACTACTTTAGGTATGTCCATACACTTGCTGCTTTTACCAATATTTGGTCATTTCTGAGCATTTTGAAACTTCGGAATATCCTTATCTCTAATAAGTATAGCTTGGCATTGAGTATGACAAATATTCTATTTGTATTTTAAAATTCAAATACTTGCAACCCTCCTAATACAACTGATTCCCAATAATTTAAAGTCACCTAATTGGACATTTTAGTTAATTAGAAGTCAGGAGTTGGTTCCATCAGTTTTGCATACAACCCTATAGAAAAAAATTCTCAATTATTCGAAGTTGAAAGCCCATAATATTGGTTATTTAGAAGTTATTTTTCAACATAGAGCCTCGAGGGAACTGTTATTTTCAATAAAATGTCCAATTTTTCAAGTGCCAGGACAGCTACCGCACTGGTTTTGTCACCATCATAGCTGTCCGCAGCGCACTGTTGTCGTCACCTCCGCTGTGCGCAGCGCCCCAGTGCATGAAGCAGCAAGATCATTCAGTCAGCGCTGGCGTGTCGAACTGTTCATTCCACTGTCGCAGTCTCTCTCTCTCTCCTTGTGTTTCGTCGACTGTGTCAGCTGAGCGTCGCAGGTATTTCCCCATGTTTGGCTGGTAGCAACATTAAATAATGGCAACACGCGGCTCGTACGCAACGCTTCATCTGGCGATGAAAGTCAAAGTCTTGAAGGAAGTGGAGCAGGGAGACACTTCCAAGCAAGACATTGTACGGAAGTACGGCATTAAGCCTGAAAGGCTTTTGAATTCCATCAAAAATAAGCATTCCGATAATGAATGCTTTTATATAGCATTCGATAATGAATAAGCATTCGATAATGAATGCGATAATGAATGACAAGTTTAAGATGTCGTGGAAGTTTATGCGCACCGAGGCCTACCCGGATTTGGAGAAGGCGCTGCTGATTTGGATCAGAGACGCACGCAACAAGAAAACTCCTCTCAGTGACGAGGTCGTTGCAGCGAGAGCTTTATCGCTTGCATCAATGTCGTATATCAATGACTTTTCTTCTTCAGATGAATGGCTCATGTGCTTCAAACAGCATCAGGACCTGGTTTTCAAGAGCGTGTGTGAAAAGAAGGTGCAAGTCGACCAGGAAACATGTGCGGCATAGAAAACAGAGAAGCTTCGAGAGTACCTCGATGAGTATCAACCGGCAGACATCTTTAACGCAGACAAGGCGGCACTTTTTTATTAGCTGCTACCAGAGAATACTCTGAGGTTTAAATATGACGACTGTGCTGGCGGTAAACGAAGTAAGGAAAGGGTGTCTGTTACGATCGCTGCAAACATGTTGCCTTCTTTTGATTGGGAGGGCCACTAAGCTACGTACTTTAAAGGCGTCAGGACTTTTGCTGTTGACTACGGTATGTTTCAAACAGAAAGGCGAGGATATCTGACATTTTCAGGGATTGGATAAGCAAACTTGATCGGAAGTTGGCATCATCAAACCACAAGGTGTTGTTCCTTGTAGACCAATGCAGTGCCCACATGAACATACCAGCCTTGAGTTCTATTCGTCTTGCATACTTACCCACAAACACGAAGTCTGTGTTGCAGCCCTTGGACCAGGACTTAATCAAAAATGTAAAGGTCCTGTACAGAAAGCATCTTGCCGAGCGCATGATTCTGTGCATGGATAAGTCCTCGCAATACGAGGTGAGTTTAATTAGTGCCACCCACATGCTAGCGTGTGTATGAGGCCACGTGCAAAATGAGATTATTGCCAACTGCTTCAAAGCTAGTGGTTTCGTGGCAAATTCTTCACGAGGGGCTTCTCCTTGCCTGCCGGTGAAAATGCCAACTGAGCTCGACGACAGCAGTTCTTACACCACTCAAGGTGACAGCAGTTTTGAGACCGCTCTTGATAACTCCTGCTTTGAATATTATGTCGCCGTGGACAGCACAGTCAAAATGTGCGGTGCACTGACATACAGTGAGATTGTGCAGACTGTTCGGCCCCACGAAAACGTTCATCAAAGCGACGACGAAGTGGACATTGAAGGTGAGCCACAACCGAAGGCTGTCGATGTAGCTGGGGGCCTTAATCTCACGCAGCGGTTTTCTGCTTGGGAAAACAATGCTGAAGAAGCACTTGGGCACGTCTACTCCTTGCAAAACTTTCTTTCCTCAACTAGGTTCGGCAAGCAGAAGCAGACGAAGATGACCAACTACGAACATACTTGCCCGCAAACACGACGCTTGTGTTGCAGTCCTTGGAAAAGGCCATAATCATAAATGTAAAGGTCATGTACAGGAAGCGTCTTGCCGAGCATATGGTTCTGTGCATGAATAAGTCCTCGCAATACGAGGTGAGTTTACTGCTGGCTTTGAAACTAATATATATATGCCATTTTTTGTGATTTCTGGTTAATTGAAAGTCTGTTTAATTACAGGTTCCTTGCTGTTCCCGTGAACTTCGTATTAGCAGGAGTGGACTATAATAAAGTTCTACGTATTTCGAATAGTAATGCCCTGTCTATTTAAACATCATAAACATATGTTTTAGAAAGCTGTGTTACTATAAATTGCAGCATATACAGGGGTGCCACAGCCCAATTAGGATTTGGAGTAATCTTTAGAGCATTAAATCTCGATTTTGTAGCAAGAAAATTTAAATTTGGAGCAGGTTGCGGGAAACATAAACGCTCAGTTTTATAGCCTGATATCCCAAATTTAGAGTAGTACAACAAATGAGACTGACTTTTAGAAAAAGAAAATACTACTTGTACCAACTATTCGCCATTAACTAACTCATGCACAGTGCATGTGAATGCTGCTACTTCAATAACGAGCACTGTTGCATCGCCCCATAATGAAAACAATGCCGAGCTCCACATTATCATTAGACGAGCCTGCGAAATCGTTTGACAGGCAACCTAAAAATTTAGGATAGTCGTAAAGCAGAACCGAATGGTGACGGTGAAAAAAAAAGAAAATTGTCGCAAGCTTCTGTTCATTGCCTCTCTAGGAAGCAGAAATGTCATACATGGCTCTGTATCATTGCCGGCAACTTTTGGATGTGACAAATTACTATTGTACTCATTATTCTGTGGCGTGTGCACACATAAATAATTGAGGAACAAAATGTGCAGAGCCCCAAGACGGTCAGTACTAGTAGCCCCTTTTAAATCATAGTACGCTTTTCTACATATCAAACGTGTAATGCAGAAAGTAGCTTAAAAAGAGTTCAGCATGTGACAGAACAGAGTCTGGAAATTTTTCAAACTGCTGCCCTTTCATATGCAAAACGTCTTATGGTCGAGTTTAATCTGTTGTGCGGCATGACCACTCTTACTGCACAAGTGCGTCCCCCCCTCTCCTACACATTTTCTCTCTCGCCTTGCATCTGCTAACGAGTTTCACGGTTGAAAAAAAAAAAAAAAACTACTGCTCACGCTGCACAAGTGTTCACTGGCCACCCTGTATATATAGACATTGGATATTGACCTCTTAGCTGGTGCTGATGGGAGATTTCTCCTGTGCATTGTTGAACAATAAAAGTTTGCAGCGTGCACATTAACTAAAAGCGGAATACGGGTCTTTGTGTCCAATCGGAGTCTCCTGTTTTTTATTGCCCATTAGCAGTGATCGGCATGTTCTAGCAGAAAACACCAGTCCATCACTGCGTGTTTTGCACCTCCCCAGGTTTCCCTCCTGCGCAACGCCGCGATGAGTGCCAGCGTCAACGCTGTTGCCAGTGTGAGCAGGAGGTGGTGTCATTTTTTTTTTCTCTTCTTTCATGGTGAAGTTAAAATACAGCGAACTAGTAGTTAGGATTATGGTCTGCATACGTCGGTTGGATTAGATGATGACGATGCACAAACTGCAGGTGATTATTGTGTTTTCCATTTCTTGTTAAATCTAACAGTCCTGAAAAAATTTTGAGGCTCAGTAGGGTATTTTAGCACACTGTGGCACAATTTGAACCAATTTCATGGTTTCTGGCTCTGCTTTGCACAAAAATATGAATTTTATTTAACTGATGCAGCAGGCCCAACTGTTGCACCCCTACATATGCAAGACATGATCAAGTGCGCCCGCACTTGCAGGCTTTTGCTAGCGACCACACTTTCCGAGCAAGCCCACCAACTAGAGTAAGTGCATCTTTTCACTGCTCACCTTGACGAGGGCGACCTTGTTATTAAAGAAGTTGTTCCTTATAGTCTCTGGATCGCTCTGGCACCTAAAGAACTTGGCTCCTTCTGCAATCAAGAGCACAAGAGTGTAAGTTGGCTAGATTTCTTAATTAATGAACATAATTACCAATCTCGCTGTATATTTGAAACTACCCCATTTACTCGCATTATTTACATACCCCAAACATTTGTAAGTCTTAAAAAATAGAATATTTGCTCACATATCTTGCGCTCCCCGACCTGCCCGAACCAGCTCCTCGATACGCACACAAGGAGACTTTGGAACTCTAGGTTCTCTAAACAGACACATGTCCCGCGGATCACGTGAGTGCAGTAAAACGGGTTGCGAGTGCAAAGTCACTGCTTCTGAACACTTCCCCCAAATAGGGTCCCCAGAATACTGCACACGAACACTCAAACTTGTGGACGAGTGCCGGAAGAGCTCGAGCTTTTGCCTCCCTCTATCTTTCCATCTCTACCTCTGTGAGAATGCACACATGCATCACCTTTCGGCACTGGAGGCCTGCGAGGGCCTGTTGGGCCTGTCGCGCCAACAGTTCCCCTTGTTTTCTGTGTCCACGCTGCAATGAAAGCTTGGTTGATATTCATTTTGCAAGTTTAGGTTTCGCCATTCGTCTCTGGCATTTTTACTGTTCTCTTGCAATGGGCTACAGTAATTATACATAGGGCGAAATTCAAGCTCGCTGTTATGGAGTTTGCCAGAGGAAACTGTAATTGTGCACTGTCAAGAACTTCAACGTGAAGGTGAAGACCTTCACGTAGGACGATTGGCGTGATTGGCACGGGAGAAAGGAAAATAGTGCGCGCTCGCTGATACAAGTTTCCTGCCATTGAAGAAGGCCTTTTCAATCATGTGCGAACGCTCAGGTCCTCCGGTATCAACGTGTCGTGGGACCTAGTTTTTCCCAGCATTGTTGAGAAGAGCTTCAAAAAAATAGGACAATCGAACCCACTGGACAGAACGAAGGACGATGTGCTTTAGGAGGGCGGTGGCAGCAGCCGCGACTATGATTCTTAATCACACCTCTTGATCAGCGATTCCGACTAGACCACGTGTGACCGGAATTGAGAGGCTGAAGTACGTGCTAAGTCTGTTAAATAAACAAGTACACTTCATTTGTGCTGTAATTTTTTTTTCATGTATATACTACACGTGTTAGGACTACTGCCTATTATTTCATATGTGGTCGCGAAATCCCTGCGTAATTTGTGCACCTTCTTTTTCGGAGCCAGAAAATTGGAGAAAAAAAGGAACTTCACACATTATGCGAGTAAATATGGTATGCTCACTTGTGTAACTCACATCAACCACCTATGGTCCATTAAAGGGTCCCTTCAACACCTTTTGAGCATGGTCAAAAAACGCTGCCTATCGGTAGTCAAAGCTCGCGAGAACAAGCGAGTGAGATATTATAGTGCAGCCTGCGGCCTGAAAGTTACAATATACTCTCAAAGTCAGCTAAATTTTGCTCTCTCTTCTCCTTACAAATAACACTACAAGCTAAAAAATTGCTTGTCACAGCCATTTATAAGCCATAGGCCAACTTGAGCATGGCACGCTTGGTCGTTACAGGAGCCACTGCAAGACACCATGACTTGTTCACGTGCGCGAGCGCAATCGCACTGAGCAGTCACATATTCGGAACAAAAAAGTAAAAAAGTGCTCACAGAGACGAGCCGTGCGTGACATATTTTCTTTCCCCGTGCCCTCCCTCTTTGTCTATATTTCTGCACATTCGTCAGAACAAGAGAAGAGAGAATGCAATTTCAGTGTGTGACAAATCTTAGTAACTCCGCTCATACTGGACAGATTCTAAAACATTTTTCAGCAGTGAATTCGTGAGGCAATAATCTCTTTCAGTGAACCCCTTCCACGGCTACTTAAAGAAGTTTTGCAGAGCCTCTTTAACCCTCTAAATCCCAAGTTTTTTTTCTTTAAAATGTGCATGACAATTCTCAAGTTTTGTTTTTTACATACGCAGTGACAGTGACAAGAATTGTAACACAATGCTTTGAACAGCCATGACTCAGCAGTGAGAGGACAAGAAAGCGATATACTCACCAAGAAGGCGGCGATCACCAGGCACAAAGAAAAACAGAGGCCGGTCCACAACGGTGGCAAAGCGGTGGTCGTCCATTCTTCGAAACACGTCACTCATAGGACCTCTGCGCATTGGTTAAAAACTGTGTTATGGGGTATCCCAAACCTAAACCATAATATTATCCCTAGGCACATCGTAGTAGGGGACTAGAGATTAGTTCTGACCACCAGGAATTCTTCAGTGCAAACCTAGGTTAGAGTAGATGACTGTTTTTACAGTTCGCTCCATTGAAATGCAGCTGCCGTGGCTTTTGTGCTTAGCAGCGAAATGACCAAGCCACTAAGGCGTTCATTCAATGTCTGCTTAATCATATTCTACAAATACGCCTTATTGCATGAGAAAATACATAAACTTTCGAAACTTTTTCCACAAGACGAAATCACATTAGTCCTTACTGATCTGGAGGTCCCCGAATAATAAAAGGGAAGGTATGAGAGTCAAGCCCATGATCACTCACCACGTATATTTTTTACTATAAGCGTGTGGATTGCCAGAAAACTCAAGCGATGGAGAGAGGCTTGAATCAAACAGCACGAGTGCCCTACTACGAAGCAGCCTTTATGTGAAACCTTAATTTTGGGATACTGTTAAGTGAATCATGAAAAGCTTGCAGAAATGGGTGCTTCTTATCATCAAAAATAAATGTTTACAATAACAAAAGCAAAAGGTCTCAGAGTGATGAAAGCTAGTGCAATAACTGGATGTAATGTCCTCCAAAAGAACAGTTATACAATGTACGACATGCATCAACATTCTCATATCATCAAAAATACCATGCATGTTCATCTAACACGCTGTCTCGTGCTAAATAATCCTTGTAGAAATCGCAACACCAAGTTTCGCAGGGCTGAAGCACTGCTGCCTGCCACCCTAGCGTATAGAAATGACAGACTTCGTCACCAGGGTTCTATATACATCAATCCATACTCAGTGCAACAATAAAATAGAAGCCGAGAATTGGACGAAATTTCGGCTGGTCAAGAAATAATGGCATTGTAGACAGAAAAAGACAGGACGCCAACCAAAAGGGTGTCAAAAATATAATAAAAGATGTTTCGGCTTCCACACTGAAGGTTTCCATGTGGAAGCCAAAACATCTTTTATTATATTTTTGACACCAAGCCTTCTGTGTGGAAGCCAAAACCTCTTTTATGATATTTTTGACACCCTCTTGGTTGGTGTCCTGTCTTTTTCTGAGAACAATAACATTGTTTAGCATAACTACAAAACTATAATCTGACTTTTATGGTGCTATTTTATGATACAGTAGCTTGATTTAATGTTTTTTCAATCGTGAACGACACTGGCTTACACACTGAAATAAAATGAACAGATGCATTAAAAAAATCTTTTTTTTTTTTCAAGGACCAAGGTGGGGGTTGGGTTCATTATGCAAGTGGGTTTATTATGGGAGTACCCTATTTTCTAGCATATAACCCGTACCGAAAAATGAAAAAAATCGCCTGAAAAGTAGAGGTGCGGGTTATCTGCGAATAATCCAGAAGCAGAGGTCGGCTTCACGGCAATGCATAGCCTCTTGTGCAGTCAGCGTCATCTGGTGCAAAGCCAATAAAAGCCAACACAAGCCACAGACAGATCCCCTTCATAGCATGTTCATTCACTTTTTTCGTACTTTGTTTGTTTTGGTCCACAGTGTCACAACAGCGATTTGACAGCGTCTTTCTCTGAGTCAGGTGTGGCCAGTTTGCACCGTTGGTCAGCCTTGTCTGGTGAGCCTTGTCTTGTTGTATGAGTGGGTCTCGGTGGCAATCTTTCACCGCAAAAGAAAAACTCAAGATCATAGGTGCTGCGGAAGAAATCGGCAACAGAGCTGCTTGAGGAGGGACGACGTTGACGAGTACTGCGTTCGCGACTGGCCAAAAAAAAAAGGATTCTCTCGAAAGTACACGCAAGGAAAAGCGAGCATTTCGTGGCCTGAAGACTGGTGCGCAACCCCTTCTTGAGATGCAGCTTGTCAAATTCATTGAGGAGCGGAGGAGTCGCGGCTACGCTGTGTCAACGGAGATGGCGCAAACGGAAGCGCTGAGGTTGGCCCGCGAGATGAACATCTCACGCAAGTTTCGTGTGTGCTGTGAATTGCTCCAGAGATTCATGGCCAGGCACAGATTTTTGCTGCAGCAGGGAACGACTACGCGCCAACGGCTTCCCAACGCCTACGAGGATAAGCTGTTGAGCTATCAACATTACATCATCGGGCTGGAGAAGGAGCACAACAATTTGCTCTCCCAGGTGGGAAATGTTGATTATCCGCCCGTGTACTGCGAGATGCCCACGGGCACCACTCTGCAGGAAAAGGGCTCGAAATCTATAAGTGCACTGACGGGCGGAAACACCAAACTATGCTGCCCAGTATTGTTGTGCACTTTAGCGGACTGTACTAAACTGTGCACGTACGTAATCTTCAAGCACAAAACGCTACCCAGCACTCCACTGCCACCAGGGATTGTTGTGTGAACCGAAGATAACGCGTGGATGATTGGTGACCTCATCTGTGACTGACTTCGCACGATCTGGGAAAAGAGGCCAGGCGCCATGCTGGCACGGTGGTCAATGCCGGTGTTGGACTTGTTTCGAGACCACTGCACTGACACAGTGAAAGTGCGCCTCGCTGACCTCGTGATCATACCTGGTGGCATGACTTCCATGCTACAGCCACTGAACGTGTGCCTCAATAAGCCGTTCAAGGCGCACGTGAAGCGGCTGTATGCTGAGTGGATGGCCAACGGCCATTACAGCCAGACTCCCACTGGGTGCGTGCAGAGGTCAGACACGCTGCTGTGCCAGTGGATCGTGGATGCGTGGTGGGCGATTCCAGCCAACATGGTGCGCAAGAGCTTCAAAAAGTGCGCCATCAGCAATTGCTTGGATGGCACCGAAGACGATTGTGTCTTTGAGAGCAGTGAAGAAGCCTTGGATGGCAGCAGTGACAGCGGCAAGTCGGGTGATGATTGAAGGAACAAGAATCAGCGCCGTCAACGTTGCGGTGATCATTTCGAAATAAAGTTCTTTTGCAAATGAGATTGTAATGTGTTGTGACTTTCCAACACAGTTTCTTTAAGCTAAGCATGCGAGTTATATGCGAGCATTTTTTTTTTTTTTTCCAGAGAGTTCAAAGTTAGGGGTGCGGGTTATATGCGAGGGTGAATTCTATGTGAGAAAATTTGATAAATTTGGTATTTCTTGGCAGCTGCTCGTGAATCCTTGGTGGTGGCACACCTGCTGGCATTGAAAGTTTTGTGCTTGGCAACACTGCTGTCTCATTTCCTATTCAAAAGGGCTTCTTGATGCAGATAGTGCAGAAGGTCGTCACAGTTTTGTGTGGTGACGTGGCCGAGCGTTGCACAAGCCAGTTGGTTATAGCTGCACTTAGCGGCTTGATGTTTTTGGCAGCTCTCTCAAACTAAAACTGACACTGGTTGGTTAATAAAGAAGCTGTGTTATCTGTCATGTGCAGCAGTAAACGATGTGCTATGCTATGAGTAACAAAACCCTAGTGTGATGAGTGAAGAAAACGATGACAACGACGGAAGTGCGGGGAAAGGCGCGTGGGATTTTGAGCCAACTGTGCGCGTGAGGTCAGCCAATCAGCTGATGACCTGTGGTGGCCCATAGAGGTGGCGTACCACGATAAGGCCACGTGTGACCATTACGTGGCGGTAAGCTTTGTGGCTGGGGATGAGCCGAAGCAGCGGCAGACGGAAGACAGCGGGCCGAAGCGTCGGACGCAGGCGATCCAGGTTCCGGCCAGGGAACGCGGCTGTCCACGCTACTGCTGTCCAACTACCAGCTGGAGTGACGTTGCTGGCACGAGCACTGCATCTCGGGGCGCGGCCTGGCCTGCTGTTCTTTTCCCTGCCGAGGGCATCGCGGATCTCGGCGAGGCGTCTCCACGGTCAGCCGTTCGGCACAGCGATGAACGTGGCATGGCTAATGGTCACGCTTGCGCCGAGCATCGCGTCTCGGCGCACGCGCTTCGCTGGACGGGCTGGCCATTTCCCGCATGGAGCATCGCGTCTCCGATGCGGGCTGATTGCTTTGTAGTCGCACCCATGCCATCAAGCGCCGGCGTCACCAGGGCGTCGCACATCGGCAAGTGAGCGCATTCCACAGCGCTTTTCCACCGCCTCCTGCCCTGCACCTGATCGGCGTCTGTCGTACCGCCGATCTGGCCTTCAGGTTTTGAACGCTCTTTCTTGAACTCTAATTGGTAATTTTTCAATCAAGCTTAGTTCTCTCTGTTGCATTGTATGTACCCTTCCTACCTTAGTGTTTCTTATGTTTAGTTTCCGTGTTCTGTCATAAACGTCGTGTGTGTTGTTACCGCGTTTTCTCAAAGTCCGTTTCTCCTCGCACGACACGCAAAACAAGCGTTGACGAGCCTTAGCCCCGATAAAGAATATTTTCATTACAATATTATGGCTCGTAACACATTGAACACATTGAAGGAAAAAAAAGTGCCACACCCAAGTTTTTTGTCAGTGCCCCTTTAATGAACCAGCCCAAGCAGCCACTCCATTTAACTTCCTGATAATTCGAAACTGTAGTGCAAGACAACGCAGTGCAATGGAAGGGAAGACAAACACACGTTCTCTCACAACTGAATTTTAATTGGAAAACGTTAGGTGCCCCATAAGGTTTTCAACCTGGCTAGAGCTCAAGAAGCATCGGTGTTAATATCTGACAGCAAAACAAACTCCCAACACACTTGACCAAGTAATGACGTCACTAGGGCTGTGGCACCATATTCAGAGATTTAGTGGATATGAGTTCAAGAACGACCTGACCCACCACCAAGAATGTTCGCTTAGGGCTGATCCTCAAAAATTGATTTTGCCACATCAATACCTTTTAGAAAAAAAACTACGCCTGAGACATGAGCCACACAAGTGCTGCCCAAAAGTTATTGTTATCTTCCTGTCCACTTGGTACAGGCGCTACGGCGTCTTACAGCGAATTTTCGCAACCTGCAGCAGCGCCATCGGTAACTCGAGCAGACGACGCGACACGTGACGACGTAAAGAATTCCAGCATTGTTGAAACCAA